CTGTGAGCTAAGTAAACCTTTCCTCCTTTAACTTTGGGTGTTGGGTATTTTGTCTCAGCAACGAGCAAAGTAACCAAGACAAAAGGGACTAGGGACAACGGTGTCAATCAATTACTTCCTCGCAGTTCTTTTAGCCACATGAGAGGAGGAATGGCTCCTGGAGGGATGTACCGTGGAGACGGGCTAGCGAATGAGATGCGCCGGCCCGAGCCAGGATTTCAGAGGACACGGAAGCCACCACTCGGGACCTGCACACCTGGCAGGCTGAGTCCCCATCCTTTCCCACAAATAGTGTCAGGGCTGGCTGTGGTGGCACACTCCTATAAACCCAGCACGCGGGAGGCTGAGGCAGGAGGATGGCTGTGAGTTTGAGGCCAGCTTGGGCTACATAGTGAGTTCAAGGCCAGCCAGAACTGCATAGCGAGACCCAATCTCGAATAAAAGAAGAAAATACTAAGCTAAGAAGACATGCAATATGATGACTGCGTTTGTATGAAAAACTAAGTACAGACTAATGTAGAGCGAGAAAGTAGATGAAGTAATGATTATCTAGGACCAGGCTGGCGAACCTTTTAGAACTTTCAAAGATAATGAACTGCTGGGCCTGGTGGCGAACCTCTGTCATCCCAGCACTCAGGAGGCTGAGGCAGGAGGATCTTTGCAAGTTCAACGTTAACCTGGGCTTGCCGGGTGTGGTGGCGCACGCCTGTAATCCTAGCACTCAGGAGGCTGAGGCAGGAGGATTGTTGCGAGATCGAGACCAGTCTGGGCTACAAAGTGAGCTCAAGGCCAACCTGAACTGCATAGCAAGACCCTGTCTCAAAAAAAAAAAAAAAAAAAAAAAAAAAGGTTAGCCTGGGCTACAGTCTGAACTGCACAGCAAGACCCTGTCCCAAAAAGAAAATAAAAAAATAAAAAATAAAAATTAGAAGTAGGCCAGGGATGTAACTGAGTGTGAGTGCCCTGGGTTTAAGCCTCAGTACTGCCAAGAAAAGAGAAAAGAATGATATTTACACAACTTTGTAACCATATTAAAAGTCGCTGGGTTGTACATTTTGAGGTGTTTTTTGAGATGGGGTCTTACTATGTAGTTCAGGCGGCCTTCAACTCACTACCACACTGCAGAGCCCAGGCTGGCCTTGAGCTCTCAGCCTTCCTCCTGCCTCAGCCTCTCAAGTGCCGGGATTACAGGCCTGCACCACGATACCCAGCTCCCTCTACTCATTCTGTAATCACAGATGCCCCAGGTAACTCTAAAGGATGTCGCTGGGCAAAAATGAGTCAGTGACGAGCCACTCAGAGCCACAGCTGCAGAGATTCCTGCAGAAACAGCAAACTGCTGACTCTTGTTTTTCATATTATGGTTTTGGGACCACTGACCCCAAAAATGTCCTGTAAAAACTGGAGCCATGTTTGACTGTCACACCGAGGGATACTACTGGCACCTGGCTGTCCCTTGGAAATCATGGAACAGCACACCACGGCTGAGCATGGAGCGCACCTGCTGGGGGACCACGTCTGGCAGACGGTTTACCTCTGGAAGGAAGGTCCGGCTCTGGCTGAGGTGAGCGCTGCCCCACGGGGAGGTGTGGAGGAGCTGGCTTCTGAAACCTGCAAGGCACAGGCGGGTCACTGTGAGTTACACATCTGTGCCCGATGGACAGGAGATGCCCTCTCCATGGGGACCCACTCCAAGATACCCAGGGGATGTCTGACAGCACTCATGGTACCGGATCTATATGTCTATTCTCCTATATACAGATACCTATGATCGCCAGGTATGGTGGTGCAACCTGTAATCTTAGTATTCGGGAGGCTGAGGTGGGAGGATCATTTCGAGTTCGAGGCCAGCCTAGGCTACAAAGTGAATTCAAGACTAGCCTGAACTGCATAGTGAGACCCTGTTTCAAAAAGACCAAAAAAAAAAAAAAAAGCCGAAAAAGATACCTATAATCGTTTTATTACTCAATTCAATTACAGTAAAATATTAATGACAAAATAATTATAATCTTATAATCTAAAAATAATGTCAATGGGGTCTTATTCTCGCAATATCTTTTTGTTTTGTCCTTTTTATTTATTTATTTATTTTGAGACAGGGTATTGCTATGTAGTCCAGACTGGCCTCAAACTTGTGGCAATCCTCCCGCCTCAGCCTCCTGAGTTCTGAGATTATAGGCACTGCATTATTACACCCAGAACTACATTTTCACTTTGTCCTACATGGGTCTCCAGTATTATGTTAACTATGCACTACGTTTAGAGTTGTAACTCTGTTCCATTCTATTTTACTCCATGATTTCTATTAATAGAAGATACCTTCTACTAAAGGGGGAAAATGTTCCTTGGTTTACAATAAAAATTACTGACAAGCTAAAAGGAAAAATAATCAATAAAACATTAAAATGATTAATATTATTTAAAATAATTTAAAACTGCACAAAGTGCTTAAAAGGTACAGGGAAGGCACACTGTTCGTGGGAATGTAAAGCTACTGTGGAGAATAGCATGGAAGTTCTTTTAACAGTTAAAACAAGCTTGGGCTGGTGATGCACACCTGTGATCCCAGCACTTGGGGAGGCTGAGGCAGGAGGATCACTGTGAGTTTGAGGCCAGCCTGGTGAACTACATAAGCAAGTTCAAGGCCAGCCTACACTGCACTACATAGTGAGAACCTGACTCAAACAAAACAAAGTAGTTCAGTGCAGAACCAGAGGATGGAATGGTGCTTTGCTAGGGGCTGGAGGAGACCCGGGAAGTGTTAGCCAAAGGTTACAAAGCTTTGGATCTGCATGATGAGGAAGTTGCAGAATCTACTGTATAGCACAGGCTCCTGAAGGTAACAATACTGTACTGTATACCCAACATATGCACAGAAATGGTGTAACATTTAAAAAACGTCACAGCTGCCAGGCGTGGTGGCACATGCCTGTAATCCCAGCACTCAGGAGGCTGAGGCAGGAGGATCACTGAGTTCAAGGCCAACCTGGGCTATATAGTGAGTTCAAGCCCAGCCTGCACTGCACACGGGGACACTGTCTCCAAAAAAAAAAAAAAAAAGTCACAGTTAAGGGAATTCTGCTTTTCCCCCCACTTATCATCCCTTAAATCTTTTCTTCATGCTAGCAAAGGACCCAGATACTGAGCTGCCCCGTCCCATCACCTCAACTGCACGGTGCGTTTTCAGTGTGTGCTTTCTATGCATCCCTGCTGGGGAGACCAGGAGACCGGGGGACTGGGAGGCTGGCGCTGTTACTCTGAAAATGCGCCTCTTCCTAGCAGAGAGAGAAAACAGCCAGCACCCTCCAGTCTGTGTCTTTCTCCAGAAATTTCATTTTGAAATAAGTCAACTTCAATGTCAAACTTCTGGAAAGTAGGAAGGTACAATGAGCTGTGCCAACTGCACGGACACATACAGCCGCACCACGTGTCTCACTTATATCCAGCAAGTGTGAGTGTGTGTGCTGTCTCCACTTCCAGCAGAGTCATGTGAAAGTTAGCTGCGGCCCACCGCAGACGCACTTCTCCATCTCTCAGCATGCAGCTCCTAACAGGAGCTGCGAGTTCGAGACCAGTTCGAGAACTCGCATCATCATTCCCATTAAAACGAACGATTCTAATATTCAGTCCATAGCCAGACCACCCTAACAGGTACATACATAAAAGACAACATACTTTTTTAAAGATGCAAGATCCAACCAATGATCGCAGATCGCATTTGGCTGTGACTCTTTGACCTACTTAATCTCCAACAAATCCTGGGGGGTTGTTTTGTTTTGATTTTTTATGGCTGACTTTTTTTGTGTTTTTTTTTTTTGTGGTACCGGGAATCAAACTCTCGACCTTGTGCTTGCCAGGCAGGCGCTGTGCCGCTGAGCTAAATCCCCAGCTCCTGGCTGACATTTTTTAAGAAGTCTCCACATTTTTAAACTCACCCCTACCTAGTCCTGCCCTCACCTTCTCCAGTTCCTACTATTAAAAATAAGAATAAGCCTTCCCCAGAGCTGGGCATGGTGGCACACACCTGTAATCCCAGCATTTGGGAGGCTGAGGCAGGAGGATCGTTGTGAGTTTGAGGCCAGACTGGGCTACAAAGTGAGCTCAAGGTCAGCCTGAACTGCATAGCGAGACCCTGTCTCAAAAGGCAAAAACAAACAAACAAACAAAAAAAAACACCTCCCTCTCTGTAGGTCTCCAGTCCTGCATTTCTCCGTCTTGGAGTCAAGCCCTTGGCCTTGCCCTTTCCTGACCCAGTGAAATCCGTCTTCCCCCATGGTCCTGAGGGTATCAATGGCTTCACAAATGCCAAGCCCAGCAAGCGTTTTCATTATTTTCTCACCTGATCTCTGTGGCGGTGACCACTGCCACCCACTTGCTCCCGAGTGCTCTCAAACCTTGGCATAATTCTCTCTCTCTCTTGCCAGCGGTTAGCACACGCTACAGCTGCCCTTGACCTTCTTCTAGTGCTCTCCAGGACTTTAACCGCCAGCTATTCATCATTCCCCTCCCGTCAGAGCGGTCTCCAGGCCTCCAGATGCACCTGCGCGTCTACCTACCAGCCGCTGCCATTTCCGCTCCCGACCCGCCGTACCCACAGTTGAACCCCTATCTTCTCCCTCTGGTAGTCTTTATGAAACACTAGTTCTCCAAATTTAACCACGCTGCCTCCTCCCACCAAAGGATCACCAAACCCTCTCCAGCGGCCCAGGAAGGCACCGGGAGGCTCTCGACGGCTCTCCTACGGACGTTACAAAAAACGCACCTCTCTGCTTTCAGCTCGCCTTCTTTCCATGCCACCCACTACCCTAACCTTGAGCTGTTCTGAAACACACAGTCCGGCTGACACCTTCTAAGAGCCCCACCCTCTGCTGGGCACACGCGCATATGTGGTTAAGGGTACTGGTCTTGGAATGAATAAGAGCCGGATGAGAATCCTGGGTTTTTTCACCCACTGGACAGCTACAGTGTACTACTACTTAGCCTAAGCCTTAGTTTTCACTTATAAAATGGGGATAATTAGATTTACTTCACAGTGTCAAAAGGATTATAAATGATATATGTAAAATATCCATTCCAGTATCAGACGAATTAAATACTCAACAACTGTTATAAGATGAAGTCTACGGCCGGGGATATAGCTCAGTGGCACAATGCCAGCCTGGCAAATGCAAGGTCCTGAGTTTGAATCCTGGTACCAAAAAAAAAAAGATGAAGTCCAAGTTAAGGGGGTTGGTGTACTCCTGTAATGCAAGCATTCAGGAGGCTGAGGCAGGCAGATCACCATGAGTTTAAGGCCACCCTGGGCTAATGAGTTCAAGAGTAACCTGAACTGCATAGCCAGAGAACCTTAAAAAAAAAAAAGTCCAAATTACTTACACTGCCTACCTGGTCAGTTAAATTTTCCACCAGTCCTTCCTTATATTCTATACTGTCATGCTGTTTCACATGTGTTTGCTTTCTTTTTTTTTTTTTTTTTTTAAGAAAGTACAAGACAAATAAAGACCAAGCAATGATAAGACAATCTTGATTCTGTCTTGTCCACCTTTTGGTTTTGGTTTTTCTCCGGTACCAGGAACTGAACTCCCGACCTTGCGCTTGCCAGGCAGGCGCTTTGCCGCTGAGCTAAATCCCCAGCCCCTTCACATGTGTTTGCTTTCATGCACACAATTTCCTTGGCCTAAAAAGGACAGCAAGCCCCCTGTTTTTCACCCAGTAAGTGAACTCTGGAAGACTTTGCCTTTTGGTTTTGTTTTTTTGAGACTGGGTCTCTCTACGCAGCCCAGGCTGGCCTCGAACTTGCGGCAATCTCCGAACTTTGGCCTTCCCAGTGCTGGGATTACACTCGTGGGTGCACTGCCACTCCCAGCTCCTGATTTTGCCTTTTGACCCTTCTACAGCTCTGTCACTTTGTAGTACATGTTTCCCTACCTCCCACATAATTGTCTTTTGAAAGCAGAGATAAATGAAGAAAATAACACAAAAAACTCAGAATGCACATGGAAATTCACTTCCGACACAGAACCTGACCAATGATCAACAAATTTATACAAAGTACTTAAACAAATTTATAGGGACCATTCTGCTCAAGGTAACTAAATGTAATCATC